CGTCCCTCGGCGCTCGGCGGCCTGCAGGGCGGCGGGATGCGCTCCGGCGGCCGCGCCTCGCCTATAGGGGCGCCCGGGGGGCGCCCGCCTCTGCCGGGGCGGCCGGCGGAGGACCGAGCCGGGGCCCCGGAAGCCAGACGGCGGTGATCCTCGAGGGGGCCAGGCCTTCTCCAAGGGCGGGGGGGCCTCGAGGGTATCCATGTCCACCGCCCGTGGAACCGGACGTCCCGGGGACCCATCGGGCGGCGAATGTGGATATACGTGTGCATCTGTAATCGTGTGCACACGTATGTCTATACATACGTGTGGAGCTATGTGTGGACACACCTTCAGATAGATTGGCCCCGCGGGGGGGCAAAAATACATCTATGTCCACCGTCTGTGGAGGTCCGCCGAAATCGATCCTCCAGGGGAGGGCTAGGCGGAGGAGGAGGAGGAGGAGGAGGAGGCGGAGAAGGCGGAGGAGGCGGAGGCGGAGAAAGAGGAGAAAGAGAAAGACGAGGAGGAGGAGGAAGAGAAGGAAGAGAAGAATTCTTGCCTCGAAGATCGAGGAAGCTAAAAGAAGCTTTCCAGGATGGTTTGCCATCTCTTGCCATCGCTCGGACGTCCACTCCCCGTGCGCTTGTCGGCTTCGTGCGTGTTTTGTTTGGCACGATGATCCAATCTATGCTCCGCGATGCCCGTCGCCGAGAAGAACTGCACTCGTCCGAGCGATGCCAAGTCCAACGCCACGACCCCTTGCAACAAAAACTGCGGGCCCGCAAACCCGAGGCCACGCTTCCCTCTCGACCAACAACAAAAAACGCTGCCAGGCCCGCGCCTCTGAGGCCACGGCACATAGCGAACGAACACATCACTCCGCGCCCCCAGGCTTTCGCGACGCCACGGCAGGCAACCAAGAGGCCGCCAAAAAGGCCCCAAGACGCCCACCCCCCAGAGGGGGGGGGCGCCGCGGAGACGGCCCAGGCCTCCGAAGGCCGCCGAGAAGGCCCACAGAGCGACCACTGTGGATGCCAGTCCACCAGAAACCTTCCACAAGAGACCCAACCCTGAGACTCGAGGACGTCCATCAATGTTCTGCGTGGGAACGCCACGCCCTCCGCAGCAAAACCATCGAAACCCAAGAAACAGGGCTGCCTCCTGGCACGGGCCTCCACTGCAAGAGGCGCCCGCCCCTCGGGGTGCGCAGCGGCGAGGCCCCGGGCCCGGGCCTCCGGAGGCCGCCCAGCAGGCCCCACGATGCCCCAGGCAGGCCGCCAGTAGGCCCGAAGGCCGCCAAGTGCGCCCCCCCCCCCCCTGGGGGTGCGCCGCAGAGGCCTCGGGCCGCAGGCCTGGCGTGGTCCCGCGGCCTCCGTCGGCCTCGTGGCGCTGCGGCGCGTTCCCCTCCCCCCCCCCGCGGGGGCCCTCGGGCCCGCGGGACGCCGGGGCGCACCGAACTGCCCCCCGGGGCAGGGATGGCGACCCCTGGGGCCGCGGGCCGAATAAATCACATCACGCAGCATATATATATATATATATATATAGTAATATAGATATATATATTATATATATATATATATATATATATATTCCCTTTTCTATATTTTTACAATCAGGGGGTGGGACCCCCCCCCCCCCCGGAAAATCGGACCCCCGGGATCTGGCGCTTTTGGGGCCCCCTGGACGCCTTGCAATGGGTCCCCCGGGCCTTCCGGGCCTCCTGGACGCCCCTGCCGGGCCTTGCCAGCGGGCCCAAAGCGGTCAGGAGGGCGGCCAAACGGCCCCGCGAGAGCCCCACGCGGCCCCAGACAGCCCCAAGACGCCCGAAGACGACCCAAAGAAGACCCCCAAGAGGTCCTCCAAGTGCAAAAAACAACACTTTCCTTTAGTTTTTTATTGAATTTTTGGACATTCGGTTCTTCGGTATTCCGTGCGTCCGAGTCCGCCGAAGAGGCCCCCAAAATCCTCCCACAACGGTGTCAAAGGGCTTCCAGACAGTCCAAAAGAGCTCCAATATGGTCCAACAGGGCCGCAAGATGGCCCCAAGAGAGCCCCGCTGACAGCCCCAGATGGCCCCAAGACGCCTCCCGAAGCGCCCAGGAGGCCCCCAGAGGTCCCCAAAAAGCTTTTGAGAGGGGCCCAAGAACACCTCCAAAGAGGAGCCCCTGCAATAAAAACTGGGGATGAGGACAAGGAGTGGCTCGCAGACAGGGATTACGAGTAAGAGGAGAGGAAGTATAAGGATAACACATAACATTACTATAACGACGATGGCGCAAACGGCAACAATGAATCATCGCTACATTTGGTTATCCTGCATGCCGAGCTTTAAGAACCAAGGTGCATGGCGCGAAGCGCCAATGCAGTCTTGTATATATATATACAGAGAGAGAGAGAGAGAGAGAGAGAGAGAACAAACAAAAAAAAAACATCGCGCGCGCTTCGCGCACGCTCAAGTTCTAGCTGGTCTCATGAGCTAAGTCATGGAATATAATGTTTGTCGCTTCTTGCATCCAAGGACTCTCTTGGAAGCCCTGCGCAAGCCTCGGAACCGTATAGGAAGGGAACTGCGGAAACGCGGAAATCATTCCGTTCCGTTCGGTTTTCAACGATTTGGGGCCCTCAAAAGCTTCCTGGTTTCTTCTGGGAGCTGAGAGGGCCTTAATTGTGATCTAGTGTACAAGAGTAGACAGGGGGCGACCTTGAAAAAAACAAGACTTGTGGGATTTCCATGCTTTTTCCCAAGTTGCCGTGCCTGGGCTGCGGGTTAGAAGTTTTCTGCATACAGGCCACTGTCCGTCGGGGTGCCTCTCGGGATCTGCGTGCAAAAATGAGTGGTGAGTTTGGAATAGAGGAATTAAAACCTTTCAACTCATGAGATCATGGGATCTCGATTTCTACGGCGGTTTCAGGGGCAGCCAAATGGACGCGAATACGATCCATGAAAGTGCTAAGACAGCGTCAGAGAGTTCAACCACATTCACGAAACATCTTCGCATGCGACTCCGAAGTCTCGATGGGGCTCGAGGAAGAGGATACGGAGCAGGAGTCCCAACTTGAACAAAAGGAATATGCGGAATTCCTCGTTTCCAAACTCCTCGGTCTTTGAGCGCCGGAAGCGAGAAAACGTGAGAAGGCGAAAAACGTCGACAAATTCCACTGGAAAGCTCTCGAAGCTCTCGTTTTTTGTTTTCTTGCGAGAGAGTGAAATAACATAGGGATTGCAAGCAGCATGCCGAGCGCGCAACCCAAATTTGAGATTGAAAAGACCTGATAACACCGAAAGGAAGACCAGAGCGAAGATTGTGAGCGAATGCTGCGCATTGGAATGGAGCGTTCACTGCCCGTAAGGCCTCAGACAGATCCACCTGCATTTGAAAAAGGAGAGAAGGCAGCAAACAACAACTCCGGAGAGAGCCATCCGTATAGTCCGGCAATTACCGCAAAGTGTCTGGACAATAGGCTGAACACGAGCAGTAATACAACGAGGAATCCAACCATAGGTTAACAACATCAGCGGAGCCTCCGAAGTAATAAAACGAAATGCACGTTCCCTACGCTCACGTAACTTATGGGCAGGATGGCGATGCACCATCGAATAACTTGGAATAAACGGGCCCATTCGGGGCGGATCGCAACCAATGACCTGCAGAAAGCAAGACCCGGCCGGAAAACTCTCGAAGCTCTCTTGGGCTGTTTTGGGGGCCTCGTCCGGGCTTTTTTGGGGGCCTCTCAGGGGTCTGGGGTGTGTTGGAGGCCTCTGGGGGGTCCTGGAGTCCTCTCGGAGGTCTCTGGAGGCCTCCTCCTCCCGCTCTTGGGCTCATCTTGGGTCTGTTCTGGGGTGGTCTGGAGCTGTCCTGGGCGCCTCTTTGGCAGTCTTGGGGCCGTCTTGGCCCGTTTTGGAGCCATCTTGGGAGCCTCTTGGGCGATCTTGGGGCGATCTTGGGGGCCTCCTCTGGCCGTCTTGGAGCGTTGGAAGCATGAAATGGTGAGAAGGCCACATACCATGAAAAAACAATGAACATTACGATTTTAGGTTCTCCAGGCGCCCTCAGAAGGCCTCTCGGAGCTCTCTTGAGGTCGCTTCCTGGGTTGCTTGGGAGCGACTTGGGCCGTTCTTTTACATTCTGGGGGCTTCTTGGGGTCGTCTTGGGCTGTCCTTGGGCGTTTTGAAAACTCCCCGGGAGGTCGGGAAGCGCGGTACCGGGAGCGTTCCGCAGATGTTCCGGGAAGGTGCGGGACCCCCGGCAGGAGGGGGGGCGTACTTGTTGAACATGGAAAAAAAGGAAATATCTGAAATTCCCCTCTGTTTTTTTTCAAACTCCTCGGTCTTGGAGCGTTGAAGCGGGAAAACGTGAAAGGCGGAAAACGTGCCAAAATACCAGTGGAAATCAACGATTGTACCCTCTTCGGGCTCTCTCTCTCTCTCGGGACGGCTCTCGAAGCTCTCTTGGGCTGCTTTGGGGGCCTCGTCCGGGCTTTTTTGGGGGCCTCTCAGGGGTCTGGGGTGTGTTGGAGGCCTCTGGGGGGTCCTGGAGTCCTCTCGGAGGTCTCTGGAGGCCTCCTCCTCCCGCTCTTGGGCTCATCTTGGGTCTGTTCTGGGGTGGTCTGGAGCTGTCCTGGGCGCCTCTTTGGCAGTCTTGGGGCCGTCTTGGCCCGTTTTGGAGCCATCTTGGGAGCCTCTTGGGCGATCTTGGGGCGATCTTGGGGGCCTCCTCTGGCCGTCTTGGAGCGTTGGAAGCATGAAATGGTGAGAAGGCCACATACCATGAAAAAACAATGAACATTCAGATTTTAGATTCTCCAGGCGCTCTCGGAAGGCCTCTCGGAGCTCTATTGAGGTCGCTTGGAGGCCTCATGGAAGTCTGGAGAGCCGCCCGAAAACTATCCTGGGTTGCTTGGGAGCGACTTGGGCAGTTCTTTTACGTTCTGGGGGATACTTGGGGTCGTCTTGGGCTGTCTTTGGGCACTTGGGGGGCTCCCCAGGCCCCAGGAGGTCGGGAAGCGCGGTACCGGGAGCGTAACCCAGGTATGTATGTATGTATGTATGTATGTATGCATGCATGCATGCATGCATGCATGCATGCATGTCTGTATGTTTGCATGCATGTCTTAGTATGTGTAAGTATGCGTGCATGCATGCATACATGCGTGTAGGTATGCATGTATGTTTGTGTGAATGTATGTACAACAACATATGTATACACACATGTGAAAGTGTATGTGTATGCACATCTGTATGTATGTATGTGTGTATGTATACATGTATGCATGTGTGCATGGATGTATGTGTATATGTATATATGAATGACTGTATGTATGCATTTATATGTGTATGGATGTGTGTATGTATGGATGTATGGACGTCTGGATGTATGGATGCATAGATATATGCATGTATGTATGCCTGTGTGTATACATGTATGCGCGCATGTATGTATGCATGCAGTTGTTGTGAGTGTATGTATGTGTATGTGTATGTGTGTATGTATGTGTTCGTGCATGCATGTATGTATGCATGTATGTGTTTGTATGTATGTATGTACGTATGTACGTCTGTACGTTTGTACGTACGTATGTGTGTATGTATGTGTATGTGCATGTATGTATGTGTGTATGCGTGTATGCATGCGTGCAAGTAGGTAAGTATGTACTCATGCATGTTTATGCATGCGTGCATGTTGCAGGTGCATATCTCTCTATATGTATATATATATATATGTTTATGCATATGCACACATATATATATATACATATATGTATATATATGTATATATAGATACATATCCGAGGATGTCTCGGAAGGGGCGCGGCGGGGCATGGTTATGGCGTTTTCTCTTCTCTGATAGCAGCAGCAGCATACAGAGCGATCCAAACACAGATGCCGATGCGCTTGCGCACAATCCCCTCGCCCTCCCCGCTAGAGGCATCCTAGATGGGGTCCGAGTAGATAGGGGTCGGAGGAACGCGACGCATCGGCGATGCATCGGCGATACATCGGCGATGCATAGGGGATGCACCGGCGACGCATCGGCGATGCATCGGCAACGCCAGCGTGGAAAACATCGTGCTCCGCATCGAGCCGCATCGTCGATGCATCAGCGATGCGGCGCGATCCTTCGACCCCATCTGCTCCGACCCCATCTAGGAGGCCTAGACCCGCCCGCTCCCGCGAGCGCGCTGCCGGGGACGGGCCTCGAGGCGCGCGGCGACTCCGCGGGCGAGGGCGTCCAGCGGCTGCTCGAGCAGCAGCTCCCCGTCGACCACGGCGGTGGGGAAGAAGTAGCCCTGAGGCTCGCCAGCCTCCTCCTCCTGCTCCTCCGACTCCTCCGCCCTCCTCCTCCTCCTCCTCCTCCTCCTCCGCCTCCTCCTCCTCCTCCTCCTCCTCCGACTCCTCCGCCCTCCTCCTTCGCCTCGTCCTCCTCCTCCTCCTCCTCTTCCTCCTCCTCCTCTTCCGCCTTCCTCCTCCGCCTCCTCCTCCTTCTCTTCCTCCTCCTCCTCCTCCACCGCCGCTGCCTCGGCCTGGCCCTCCTCCGACCCGCCGGTGCCCTCCGGCCGGCCTGGGGCGCGGCCCCCTCGGGGAAGCGGAGCAGCCCCGCGGGCGACGGGTCCTGGGAGCCGGGCGGCTGCACAAGTCCACCTCCCTCCTCCCCCCCTCCCTCTCGGGGAGGCGGAGGAGGAGGAGGAGGAGGAGGAGGACGAGGAGGAGGAGGAGGAGGAGGCGAAGAGGAGGAGGAGGAGGAAGATCCTGCTGCTTCTCCTCCTCCTCCTTCTCCTCCTCTTTCTCCTCCTGCTGCTTCTCCTCCTCCTCCTCCTCCTCCTCCTCCGCCCCCATCCTCCTCCCACTCCTCCCCTATCCCTCAAAGGGGGGAGGGGGCTCTGTGCACTTGTCATCCTCCGAGGTCCGGCGGCGGCAACTCCGGCAACCGCCCATGGAAGGCGCACATGACGCGCCAGCCGGGGCCAGTGCTGGGGTGCAACCGGAACCTGCCACCAACCTGCGCTCGCAGCACCTCGTCGGGCCAGGCGACTGGGGGGAACGAGGAGAGAGGAGGAGAATGAGAATGAGAATGTCGGTTCACTAAATGAAAAGAACATGGGCGTTAAAGGGGGGAAGAGAGGAACTTCCTCGGGTTGGCCTGTCGGCTGGCCCGCTCGGCCTTGCTCAAGACCTTCGGCCACTGTCCCGAACGGATCCTCCTCATATACTCTTCCCCCGTCGCCGTGGCACGCAACAAACACTTATCCTGGAGGGCGGACTTTCGCTTACTTGAGAACGACCCGCACACCTCGCAGAACCAAAGGCCTAAAGCCGTGCTCAACTGCATTGGATGGCTCTCGTGCACCCAGCCCCCCGCTAAGTGTAGCTTCTAATTAACAGGAAGTGTGTGAAACACTCCGTCCTCCTCCTCCTCCTGCTGCTTCTCCTCCTCCTCCTTCTCCTCCTCTTTCTCCTCCTGCTGCTTCTCCTCCTCCTCCTCCTCCTCCTCCTCCTCCGCCCCCATCCTCCTCCCACTCCTCCCCTATCCCTCAAAGGGGGGAGGGGGCTCTGTGCACTTGTCATCCTCCGAGGTCCGGCGGCGGCAACTCCGGCAACCGCCCATGGAAGGCGCACATGACGCGCCAGCCGGGGCCAGTGCTGGGGTGCAACCGGAACCTGCCACCAACCTGCGCTCGCAGCACCTCGTCGGGCCAGGCGACTGGGGGGAACGAGGAGAGAGGAGGAGAATGAGAATGAGAATGTCGGTTCACTAAATGAAAAGAACATGGGCGTTAAAGGGGGGAAGAGAGGAACTTCCTCGGGTTGGCCTGTCGGCTGGCCCGCTCGGCCTTGCTCAAGACCTTCGGCCACTGTCCCGAACGGATCCTCCTCATATACTCTTCCCCCGTCGCCGTGGCACGCAACAAACACTTATCCTGGAGGGCGGACTTTCGCTTACTTGAGAACGACCCGCACACCTCGCAGAACCAAAGGCCTAAAGCCGTGCTCAACTGCATTGGATGGCTCTCGTGCACCCAGCCCCCCGCTAAGTGTAGCTTCTAATTAACAGGAAGTGTGTGAAACACTCCGTTAGCATTCAGAGGCTTAAAACACGGGGACCGTTTCCAATCGGTGGCTCTGGCCTGGGTGGCCGTGCCCATACACCTGGAACACTTCAAACCAGAACCACCTAGTTGGAGCTGGGTAGTGAAAGCTGTTACTGGATGAAAAGCAGAAGCAGGAGGAGAAGGAGGAGGAGGAGGGGGAGGAGGAGGAGGAGGAGGGGAGAAGGAGGAAGGAGGAGGGAGGGAGGAGGACGAGGAGGAGAGGAGGAGGAGGAGGAGAGGAAGAGGAGGAGGAGGGAGGAGGAGACGCAGTGGAGGGGGAGGAGAGGAGGAGAAGATGAGGAGGAGGAACGGAAGACATAGGGACGAGGAGGGAGAGAGGGAGGAGGAGCAGGAGGGGGAGGAAGCGGAGGAGGAAGAGGAGGAGGAGGACGGAAGACTAGGACGAGGAGGAGGAGGCGGAGGAAGAGGAGGAGGACGTAGAGGAGGCGGGGAGCCGAGGAGGTGCTGAGGAGTGAGGAGGAGAGGAGGAGGAGAACGAGAAAGCGGAGGAGGAGGAAGACGAAAACAAGGAGGAGGAGACGGATGAGGAGGTGGGGGAGGAGGGGGAGGAGGAGAAGGAGGAGGCGAAGGAGGGAAGAAGGAGGAGGAGGAGGAGGGCAGCATGAGGAGAGGAGAAGGAGGAGGAGGAGGAGAGGGCGGAGGAGAACGAGGAGGACGGTGAGGATGGGGAGAGGGAGGAAGATGAGAGGAGGAGGAGGAGGAGGAGGAGGGAGGAGAAGGAAGAGGAGGAGGAGGAGGGAGGAAGAGGAGGACGGGGAGGAGGAGGAGGAGGAGGAGGAGGAGGAGGAGGAGGAGGAGGAAGGTTTGCGGATGAGGAGGAGGACGACGACGACGAGGAAGAAGAATAAGAAAAGGAGGAGGAGACGGATGAGGATGGGGAAGGAGGATGGGGGAGGAGGAGGATGAGGAGGAGGAAGAGGAAGAGGAGGAGGCGGAGGAGGAGGAGGAAAAGGAGGAGGAGATGGAGGAAGAGGAGGGGGGAGGAGGAGGAGGAAGGAGGAGGAGGAGGAGGAGGAGGAGGAAGGTTTGCGGATGAGGAGGAGGACGACGACGACGAGGAAGAAGAATAAGAAAAGGAGGAGGAGACGGATGAGGATGGGGAAGGAGGATGGGGGAGGAGGAGGATGAGGAGGAGGAAGAGGAAGAGGAGGAGGCGGAGGAGGAGGAGGAAAAGGAGGAGGAGATGGGGGCGGGTAGCTTCCAAGCCCCTCTCTTTAGCTAAGGGGGGCCCAAGCTACAAAACCCAAACCAAAGTAGGGGGTGACCATGGAAGCCTCCCCCTTTGAAAGGACATGCTTATTTTTCCTGGTAACCTGGGTTCTTTTCTGGTAGATTGGGTCCCTTCCCGGTCCCCAGACGTCCTGAAGCTTGCGTAGAGCTAGGTCTCCTGAGGGCTTCTGAAAGCTTCAGGGATTTTCAACGAGATTCACAGAGCTTCTGAAGGCATTTGGCAGCTTCACCGAGCTTCAGAGAGATTCAGAGAGATTCAGAGAGCTTCTGAAGGATTTTGAAAGTTTCAGACAGTTTCACAGAGCGTCTGAGGGCTTTGAAATCTTCCGAACGCTTCAGAGATCTTCACAGAGCTTCAGAGACCTTCACAGAGTTTCAGAGAACTTCACAGAGCTTCACAGAGCTTCAGAGAGCTTCACAGAGCGTCAGAGAGCTTCACAGACCTTCAGAGAGCTTCACAGAACTTCAAAGAGTTCCAGAGATTCTCAGACAGTTTCAGGGAGCTTCAAGGAGCTTCAAAGAGTTCCAGAAAATTCCAAGGAGCTTCAGAGAGCTGCACGGAGCTCCAGAAAACTCCATCAGAGAGCTTCACAAAACCTCAGAGAGCTTCACTGACCTTCAGAAAGCTTCACAGAGCTCCACGGAGCTTCAGATAGCTTCAAACAGTTTCAGCGCGCTTCTGACAATTTCAGGGAGTTTCAGGAAGCCCCAGAGAGCTTCAAAGAGTTGCAGAGAGTTTGATGGAGCTTCAGAGAGATTCAGAGGTCTTCAAACAGTTTCACGAAGTTTCCAAGAGCTTCAGAGAGCTTCAAAGAGCTTCAGAAAGTTTCAGAGCGTTTCAAAGAGTTTCTGAGCTTCACATAGTGACAACGAGATTTAGAGAGTTTCAGAGAGCTTCAGGAAGCTCCAGCGTGCTTCCGAAAACTTCAGAAAGTTTCAGCGTGCTTCTCAGAGTTTCAGAGAGTTCCCGAGAGTTTCACAGACCTCGAAGGAGTTCCTGAGAGTCCTAAAGAGTTTCAGAGGAGTTGCAGCGTGCTTCCGAAAGCTTCAGAGAGTTCCGAAGAGTTTCAGCGAGCTTCAGAGAGTTCAAGAGAGCTTCACAGGAGTTCCAGAGAGTTTCAGCGAGCTCCAGAGAGTGTCATGGATATTCAGAGCGTTTTCAGCACGCGCACTCACACAGCACGCACACACACAGCATCCCCACACACAGCACGCACACACACACACACACACCACGCGCACACACACAGCACGCACAAACACACAGCACGCACACACACAGCACGCAAACACACAGCTTGCACACACACACACAGCACGCACACACACACACAGCACGCGCACACAAACACACACAGCACGCACATTCACAGCACACGCACAGAACGGACACACACACAGCACACACACAGCATGACCACACACACACACACACGCACACAGCACGCGCACACACACAGCACGCACACACACAGCACACGAGCACACACAGCACGCGCACACACACAGCACGCACACAGACAGCAGAGAACACACAGCACGCACACTCACACACAGCACGCACACAGCACACGGACACACACACACAGCGCAAACACACACACACACACACGGCACGCACACACATACACAGCACGCACACTCACACACAGAACACGCAGCCATACACACAGAGCACGCGCCCATACACACAGCACGCACACACACACACAGCACGCACATACACACACAACACGTAGACACACGCACAGCACGCACGCGCACATCAGGCACTCACGCACACAAAACGCGCACACACAGCACGCACGCACACACACACACACATCACACACAGCTCGCACAGATACAGCACGCACACACAAACACACCACGCATACACACAGCACGCACCACACAGCACGCACACACACACACACAGCACGCACACACACAGCACGCACACACAGCACGCACAGACAGCCACACCCACAGCACGCACACACACAACACGCACACACACAACACGCACCCACACACACAGCACGCACACACACACACACAGCACGAACGCACACCCAGCACGCACGCTCACACACTCACAGCACGCACACACACACACACACGCACAGCACGCACAGGTACAGACATGCAACACGCGCACACACAGCACGCACACACAGCACACACCGCACGCACACGAACACACAGCACGCACACACACACAGCACGCACACACGCACACACACAACACGCACACCCATAGCACACACACACAGCACTCACACACCACCACACACACACCACACCCGCACGCACACACACCGCACACACACGCACACACACACACACACGCAGCGCGCACACACAAGCACACAAGCACACACACACACACACACACGCACGCACGCACGCACGCACGTACAGCACGCACAGCACGCACACACACCCACACACACACACGCACACACACACACAGCACACACAGCGCGCGCGCGTGCGCGCACACACACACACAAAACACAGCACGCACACATACACACACATAAAACACGCGCACACAAAGAACGCAACCACACACACACATACACACGGCACGCACACATACACACACATTCACACACACACACACACACGCAAGCACGCACGCACGCACGCACGCACACACACGCACACACACGCG